CACTTCCTTTCTTAGCACGTTCTTTGATGTATGCACAACTCTGGGGTCAGCCAGAGATTCAGATATACTTTATATGCCAAATTCTGGGCTTTCTATCTGTGTCTTTCCTTTCTGTGATCATTTTTATTGTACGCTTTCTGCCATGTCACCCTGAAGTCTGCCTCTGAGTTTTTAGCCATACAGCTATCCTCTGGCTGCACAAAAAAAAAAAAAAGAGAGACTCAATTAGTTCTGGTCCCTTCACCAAAAATATCAACACCCCTATGATTTCTGCCTCTATTGCTCTGTCTCTTATACTATCAGGGGGGTTTATTTCTAATATTTTGTCATAATTGTTGCCATAATTGTTGAAGGTTGGTCTGATGGGGGTCATTACAGCATAGCTGAAGGCAAAGGTTTTTTCTTATTTATGTTTCTATTATTGTAGCAAAATACCGTGACTGGCTTATAAAGAAGTTTAATTGGGCATGCAGTTCAAGAATGTTTGAGTTTATAATGCCAGAGTGAAGACATGGCAACAAATTGCTGGAGAAGCAGCTGAAACTCATACATTAATCCACAAGCAGGAGGCAGAGAGCACACTAGGAACGGTGTGGGCTTTTCCACTTCCAGCGACATACCTCCTCCAACAAGATAACACCTCTTCATCCTTCCCAAACAGTTCCACTAACTGAGGACCATGAACCATGTGCCAGATGCTACCAAGTTTGGCTGCCTGCTTGGGATGGATCTTTGGCCCCAGACTTGAATTAAGTTTGCATAAGCTTTGACATGTTGTTACTTTTTAGAAATTTTCTCAAGCCTTTTCCTTTAACCAGTTGGAATCTTAGCTGAGTAGGGTTTTTCCCTGAGCTCACCATTCTTTTTATTCCATTTTGGATCAGAACTCTCCTTATCTTTTTCAGCACAAGCTTTAATTCCAACATTAAATTTCCTGATGCTCTTTTTCTCCTCAAACTGCACATTTTGTGTTTATTTTAGCTCCAACTGCTCTTTTTTTTTTAATATAGAACTGTGTAAGTGTGGTTAGTAATAACCATGTAACACAGTCAATATTAGACTGTCTTGAGATCTCTTCTGCCAACAAAGTGAGTCCAAAACTTTTCAATTTAGCATAAAGCATCTTCTTAGGACAAGGGCAAAAATCAGCCACATTCATTGCCAAAATATCATGAAAATAATCTCTAGTTCAGTTTCTAATATTGTTCCCCTCTGAAACCTCTTAAACTGGGCCTCCATACTTTACATTGCTCTCAGCTCTATTGCCTTCCAAACTCATATTAGGATGCTCCATTAAGCCCCAATTACTGGCTGTGATGGTTTGAGTAAAAAATGTTCCCATAGGCTCTAGTATCACATTCCACTCTTTGGCCCCAAAGGCTTATAGCCATATCATAATGCAAAAGTGCATTCAGACCAACTTTAAAAGTCCATATAGTCTATAACAATCTCAACACTGGTTAAAATCCTAAAGTTCAAAGTGTCTTCTAAGACTCATGTTAATCTCTTAATCTGTAAGTTCTGTAAAATAAAAATAAAAAAGCAGATCACATACTTCCAACATACAATGACACAGGATATCCATTACCATTACAAAAGGAAAAAAAGGGAGCATAGTAAGGAAATACTGAACCAAAGCCAAACTGAAAACCAGCAGGGTAAACTCCAGTTTCTGCATCTCCATGTCTGATCTCCAACACCTTTCAGCTTTATTGACTGCAACACTGCGCTCTCTCTCACACTCTCTCTCTCCTCTCTCCTCTCTCTCCCTCTTGCTCTCTCACTGGTTCCATTCCCAGTCTGCAGCTCTCCTTGTTAGGATCTCTAACAAAATCCAGGCTTCACCTTCACAGCCTTACACAGTGGTCTCTCTGGGCCTCCATGCTGGTGTGCACTCCTGACATACGTCTGGCCTCAGAGGCTTCCCTTAGTCGCAGAGGGAGATTCTACAACTCCTTTCATGTATCTGTGACTCTAAAGCCAGAACCACGTGGCTGAAGTGACCAGGGTCTTCTGCTTGCTGGAGCTGGAAGTTGGCCCTCTCATTTATATACATTTTCACCAGTTTTCTGTTTTCAGTAATTTCCTTCACTGTTTAAGCTTTTCTTTAATTCCTTTTTACAAGCTGTAAGCTTAGCTAGGTGTATTCTTAGTTGGGTGGGGCCTTTCCCTGACATCACTACTCCCTTTATTTTATTTAGCATCACGATTTTCTTTAAACTTTTTATCTCCTTGAGCACTGGACTTAGCTCCATTATACTTCCTGGTGCTTCTTTTCTCCTTAAACTGTATATTTTATGTTTTTCTTTGCTCAGCTTAATTCTTTTCATTACAGATCTGCATAAAACCAACCACTAATAATCATACAATGCAGTCAAGACTAGGTTGTTTTGAAATCTACTCTACCAACACCATTAATCAAAAAAAAAAAATCTTCATTTTAGCCTCAAGTAGATTTTTTGGACAAGGGCAGAAAACAGCCACATTCTTCACCAAAATATCATAAGAAAGAGCTCTAGGCCACTTAGTAATATTCTTCCCCTCTGAAACTTCTTGAGCTGGGCCTCCATAGTTGAAATTGCCCTCAGCACTGTCTTCATGCTCCTGTAAAGGTAGCCTATTAAGCGCTATTTGGCAGGCAAAGTGGAACAGTTCCTGAATGTGGAGTGAGGATTGAAAGAAAATTAAAAAAAAAAAAAAAAAACACATCAGTTCAAGAGGGCTGCTAGGTGAAACTGTCACACCAGTTTATTCCACAAGTTCTTTTAATAGTCAGAGCAAAGCACCTGGAATCAATGAAGTTTATCAAGAAGTCAAACTTGTTTACCTCAAACACTTGTCTGTGTGATCCTCACACAAACAAAGGGAAATGAACTTGGCAAAACAACCTGCCTATCCCTGTCTCCAGTTGAAGGCCAGGGTGAAAACAAGCAGCTCTCCACAACCATTTATAACATCCAACTGCTTTTCTATTCCAAAGTACCAAGGTCTTCCATATTCCTCCAACAAACAGCATGGTCAGGCTGTCACAGCAATATCACAATCTCTAGTATCAACATCAGCCTTAGAGTTCT